GAATTACTAACAACAGGGCAACCCAGCTTTGAAAAAAAAAACAGCGGAATATGAGTATGTACTGAAGCGTATATATGAGAAATTATCCCAAATTATGAGCGGCACCTTGCCGCCGTTCCTAATATGGAAACTGCGCCATCATTGAATACTGCACTGTATGCAATGCAACACAGCGCAAGAAGTTGGAGGACGACAAATTTGAAAAATTTTAGGACCACGCCAGTGCGATGTAATGATAACTGATGTGCGTTAAGAGACAGAAAGGGAGCAGAGAGGACCGGAAAGGCAGTTGATATCCCTGTTGCCTACAAAAGAGAGGAAGTGGACTGGGCGGCCCACGTTTATGCGTATATGACCACAACCAATCGCGAATGAGGGTGATTCAATGAATATACGAAGGGATGGAAAACACGTGCCGATTTAGACGTACATAGTTCAGCTCGCGCAGATACAGCGTAAATTGGAGATAACTGGGTGCCACTGCAGCATGCTTACGACGATCCTTGTCTGTGATGACCTTTCCGTATCAGTTGAGCGAGGGCGGACGCCTTCGCGAAAGAGATAAAATAACGAAATCAGGGGTCTTACGTCCCAAAACCACGATATCGTTGAGAGATGCCGTAGTGGAGGGCTCCGGAAATTTTTGGACCATCTGGTGTTCTTGACCCTGCACTGATATCGCACAGGACACGGGCCTCTATCACTTCGTCTCCGTCAAAATGAGAGCGCCACGGCCCCGGGATCGAAGCAAAACAGATAAGTACTATCAACATGCAAAAGTGATCTAGGGATCCACAACAAACGTGAACTTCCGCTATATCATGTGCACAATGCTTGTAACCAAGGCCGTGAGTGTAGAGGTCGGAATGCCAAGTGCAGTGCGGAACATTTATTTCGAAATTAAAATTCCCAGACAAAGCGGAAAGTCAGCTTTATCGAACATTTCGCGTCCCGCAAACTTTTGCAGTTGTTATAGTATACGTGCGGCAAACGACAACTGACGGCGGACGAGTCTTCGACGCACTCCTCCATACAGCTAAGTCAGAGGTGTGTTGAACAACGTCGCGGCGCCTGGGAACGCTGCACGGGTATGCAAATGAACGTGACGAACTATAGCAATATTTCCAGGGTTTTACGGGCCCAAACCACGATACGATTAGGGGGCCGGTCGCTGTGAGGGAGGGAGGGGAGGCTCCGGAAGCTTTAAACGTTGCTCTGGCTAACTTCGCACATTACAGGTATACGGTCCTCTAGAATTTCGCCTCCCATCGAAGCGCAACCGCCGCTGCCGGAATCGAACCCACGACCCTCGGGTCATGAGCCGAGCGTTGGCCGGCATCACTTCCACCCGATACGAAGTTAAAGACAGTCGAGAAAAGCAATGGTTTGGAAGACGCCCCCCGGCTTTTTGCATTGATAACGCCGGAGGCCGAGAGCAGTCGACCGTATCAAAGAGACCCACAAAAGTAAACGCGAGAGGGGCTGACTGCGCGCTTAAATTCACCGAAAGCGGCAAACGCATGAAATGCGTTTCCCGCGGCACCCTCGCTTGGCGCGTGTGTTTTGCGCTGTCCGATGAAATCGCGTGTTGTTGCCCCCCCGACGAAAATCGATACGTGTATCGTAAACAGACACCAGACTGCCAAAGGCAGAATTTTGTTTATGTGCGATGGGGGTGTCCGATACAGCTAACACGTTTAACGGATTGGTTTCAGCGCCGCCATGCTCTTAACCTTTCTGTTTTTTATTTTTTATTTTTAACGACTAAGCGAATGGTGTTATGGAAGACACGTACGCATTGAAAACGGGTAAGTTGGTGCTTGCGATGTTTCATAGCCCCATTAAATCACATTACGATATACACACACAAAAAAATATCGGCTTAACAGCCCAACATAGCGGGGCCTATACGCCCCCCCCCCCCCAACTAGGCACAACAACCGCTACATACCAAGCAAAAATTTTGAAAGCTTGAACACGCAAACACTAATGAATCATGCCAATTCTAGACTAGGCCAATGGAAGAAATAAGTCAAGTCATGTGTGTAAGCAAACGGCGTCCAAATACTGTAATTATGTTTGCTTGAAAGAGAGTGGCTTTCTTTTATATACAAACGAAATGTTTTCGCGCTGTCTTGTATATTTCAGGTATTGCCAGCTAGAACCAATTGTTTTGGAGCTGATGGCCGAAAGCGCGTCCAACCGCTTTCCCTTCTTCATTTTTTTTCTTCAAGACTTGCCTCGGTGACCCAAGTTCTACAATGATTTTGTTTGGTGTGTATGCACACAAGAGGTGGCACACAACTTGTTACGTAGTTCCGAAGAGCGATTTTTTGTTGTTGTTGTTGCAAGGTCCTCGCTTCTGTGGCATATGGAGAAATCGCGGCCTACACAAAACTATGCATCAAAGTTGCATTTTAGATATTTATCTGCAGCATCACTTGAAGGTTGCTTCTTAAAGCTGGAAAATAAAAACAATTTCTATTTTGCTCGGCAGTTTCATAATTCAGACATTAAACGATTAAACTAAGTAATGTCAAGCTTTAATTTAGCTGCTTCTGCATAGTGAAAGGGAACCATCGCGACCGTATCAGACGGGGACCATGACACTATAAATACCATGATAATACTACAAAGCTTGAAACAGTCGCGCCGTTTCCTTCTTCATTAGCTTCAACAGAGCAGCAACAGTAAATTTTATCTACTAAAGGTAGAAGCGTAAAGCACGTAAGGAAGAAACAGTCATGCCACATACAAGTTTTTGTAGAACAAGATCTCCTAGTTTGCAAGCCGGAATACCACGCAACGCCACTGGAGAGATGGCGACACCCAACGTACCGTTTTCGCGCCAGTTCAACCGTAACGACTTGAGTTTTGTTTACTGTTCTATCTGCAATGAATGGCTGCACTACGAGACAAAAGTGCCCCGCCGCGGTTGTCTATTGGCTAAGGTACTCGGCTGCTGACCCGCAGGTCGCGGGTTCATATCCCGGCTGCGGCGGCTGCATTTCCGATGGAGGCGAAAACGCTGCGCTCAGATTTGGGTGCCCGTTAAAAAAAACCATGTGGTCGAAATTTCTGGAGTCCTCCGGAAATTCTCTCATAATCATATGGTGGTTTTGGGACGTTAAACCCCACATATCAATCAATTACGAGACAAAAGTGGGGGTGTTTTTGTGCATTTTCCTGCGTATTCACGGCCCAAATGCGGCTAAGAACATGGAAATTCGTGACGTCACAGCCACGTACCACTGACGTCACGACCGAAGAGACGCATTCCTTTATTCGAAAATTCTTCGCTCAGGTATCAGCACCGCATTTCAAAGACGGAAGGCGAAGTCAGTTCATCGAGCAATTATCAACGTTTTTCCATCCGTCAGGTAGAAGAGTTTTGGATAAATGTTCCATCAGTTTACACCGACTTATCGCAGCTTAGTACGTACTTAAATTCGTCGTTATCGTATGACGTGATGCTATGTATCTGTTTTTCTTCGTCTCAGAGGCATGATGATGGCCGTACCCTACCTTCTCCCTTCCACAATCTAACAGTTTAGATGCTGTTTGATAGAAACAAGCGCTTGAATTAACTCCAAAGGAACGTAAGACACTGGACTTTTTTGTTTTGTTTTTTTGCTGGTCTTTGGAAGGCGTTGACACCAAACGGCAGTGCAGCTAAACAGACATTCCGTGTGCAACAAAGGCGCCATAAACAAGTCCCTTTCAGCTCTCCTAGGACGGCGCAGGGTTTCACGTATTTCCGAACGTATAACTCATCACCCGCTGACAAGAACTTTTCTCGCAACAGCAAACTTGAAGCGCGGCCAAACATGCTCTTTTCGCAGCCCCCCCCCCCTCCCCCTTTCACGTCACTAACGTTACCTTTATTTTCTTTTGAATGAAAGGCGTGAAGCAGACACTGCAGCTACCGGTAGCACTGAAATGACGTTCCAACACCAACGGTGTTCGAACATACGTCCTCGTAAACCAGAACTCTGTGTATACACAGTAATCGAAACCAACCGTGCACGCAGCCATGCCAAAGCGGAAGAAAATCGCTTAGTTTCGCAAGCGTGTAAAGATATTTCGCGCGCAGTAGTAGGATGTCTAGGGCACGGTCTAGAGTGGTAATGCAGACTTATAAAAAGGCGTGGCAGCTTGGGCTAGTTGGTATGGCACGACGACAGTTATAGCGCGAGAACGGAACGACGACACAGAGACAAGTCCTTCGTGTCCTTCTTGTCTCTGTGTCGTCATTCTGTTCTCGCGCTATAACTATCGTTGTCGTTACAAACGGCCTCGTAAATAACACTGCCGAAGCGCTTCGGCGCCTCGAAAAACACAGCTGTGGTAGCGCACTCGCGGGCCCGGCACTTTCCCAGCGCGGCTGCCAACGCCAGCAGGAACTGAAGAGCGCGTCACGCATGCCCCACGCCTACGCAATGACCGTCCTGGCCAAGAAAATAAACGGGGCCTCTCGAGCGAATCCCACAAGGTCTGCTCGCGAAGCTGAGACACAGAAGTAAAGCACAAACCCGTCTGGCCAAATCGATGCGTCTGGCCGGATCGATGGTGTTTTCCCAGGAGGTCAAAATGCACGCGCTAGTTAAACAGACCAGCCCGACTTGACGGGGCGTGTTACGGGGGATGTCGACCCCTCGGACAAACGCGCACGAGAGCTTTGACAACTGATACGCGACCGTCGGCGCGTCACCAGCCAGCTGTTCGCGCAACCACCAGTGTCCCCGATTTGCATTTGCAAGGGCGCGCGTTTTTCTGCCGAATACACGCAACGGAAGCAGAACACTGCGCGAAAACGAAAGCTCGCAGGCGGATGTACCACACAGTGCTTCATTATCGCTGGCATCGCCCCATTTTAAACCACAAACACAGCCGACATTTCAGACTTTCGAATGATGCGGCCGAGAACACCGCGCTGGGACCGTAGAACTAGGAAAACGCAACTGAAGAGAACCGTCTACTTGTAAGAAACGGCCACTCACTTCAGAAAGTTCCGCTAGGATCGGCCGTTGTCATAGTCCAATGTCGACGTTGCAGAGCTCCTATGGCACACAGTAAAGAAATAATGAGGGCGAAACGAACTGGAGATCTATTTTCTACGACCCCGAGCTCAGCTCTCTGCTAGCAGCAACGCACAATCCAAAATATTTTTTGAACCCATAGTTGCCTAACCGCAACGCGAAAGTCGTCAAACGCTGCAAAATAAACGCATAAATAACGTCAAATTTGGTAACGCAATTCAATACGCAAATAGGCAATATAACCACGCAAATCAAACTTCTTTTTTCTTTTTCAAATAAAAAGGTTACTTCACTATACTTACCTTTGCTATTTGTATTGACGTAGTAACCGAAACTGGTCGGCGGGGAGACCTTGACAGCCGAATTTCGACGCTCACTCTGCGGTAAATTCCTCGGTTTTCGCGGCGCAGCATAAATGTTTTGCGTTCATCGTATAGCTACACAACACTCACAAAAATAGGCTGACGACATCCGGTTTAGCAGTGAGGTTCTAGCAGCTGTTTCAGCGCCCAACATCACGGCACACTGGCAGCGTCCACAACGCCGATGGGGTTCTCGATAACAATGGTCTTCCTTGTTCCTCTTTAAAAACGTGCTATTGACAAATGTGGTGGACTAGAGAACGCGTGAGCCGATCACGATGTTCACGACTGTCACGGTCACCGAAGCTACCGATTTAGCCATAGCGGACGTGTCCCAAGGCTGGGTAGCTTCGCGCCGTGCGTTCCGCTAATTTAATTCGTGCACGTATGCGAAGGCACGCGTCAGCCCCGCATTATCCGATGCCGTGGACACTCTACGATGCCTTTCATTATGATGCAACAACTTCGAACGAGCCGAAAAAATGTGTCACGCATGGCCGAGTCACGATGAATGAAACTCTTTATTGCACATAATGGTACGCAAATGCCACAGCGTTCATGAAGCCGGCGACGGCAATGAAGGAAAAAAACTACAACGACGAAAGGCCTCTCAGGCGACAACGAGATCGGTGGGACTCAGGTCGAATAAGGTTATAACAATCCTGCAAATAAAATGGAAAAAGTGGCAAATTAATGAAATCCACTGCCAAACACACAATTTCGAGAAACGAAACCGAAAACTGAAACAAAGGGCGCGGAGCGCGCTAAAATAATTTAGTTCTTAAGATATCGACTTATAAAACAAATGCTGAAAACAAACAAATGGCATTGTAGTCATTATTTTCACTATCTAAAGATGGTTGCAATATTCTTAAATGCGACAATGTGGCAACACTGTTTTTTTCTGTTTAGTTTTTTATCTGCCATGTGTGAACACCTGCGGCAGTTGCATTCTTGATTCCAATGCGTATTACGTTCCTGCCTACATCGTTTACTGCTGGAGGTTGAAGGTTGAAAAACATTGGCACTATTTTAATACGTTGACACTGTGCGCCTGTGTCGGCAAAGGACAAGCAACAGGCTTTACGGTGCTGGCTGCGCTAACGTAATACACGACTCGGATATCCGAGAGATCGCAAGATCTCTTCTGAGAACTTTGATTTCTCGGGAAGTTGTACCCAGCCGAAACAGAAAAAAAATAGGGGGGGGGGGGAGGTGACCGCGTTACCACTGGAGCGTAAAATATCCGCGAGCGCTTTAATTACCTCTTCGGCGGCACTGCCAAGTTTTCCGAGATGAACTGCCTCAGTTGGCTGCCGTAATCCTGGTTCTTTTCCGGAGAGAAGACGCTGATTGAGTGAATCGAGCAGAGACAGTTGGGATCGGTCGTGCCGGCCCTTAGACATGTCCACACCGGGCTCCACAATGACGGTCACTTTCTGTAAAACACCGAAAAAAGAACTAATCACGTTCGTACACTCATTTGCCGGGGGGGGGGGGGGGGGGGGTCACGGTGCCAAGGTCATTAGGAGCGGCGCTGGTAGTTTTTTTCGACTGCAATAACAGCTTCTCTCGGCCCGATTTGTAGCTCCAAAACTTCGCTCGCGCGCTGTACTTAATACGCAGGTAACCAAACATGACTCGGTCGCTGTGCGCGAGACCTGTCATGCGCATACAGACCTGCATCGCGAGTCAATCTCACCTCGATATCTTTCTTCAGGAGCGAGGCAACATACTGGGCAAACTTGACGTTGAATCCGTTCGGAATTCTGCTCGCCAGCAGATTCGTTTTAATCGTGCAAAGCGGCATGACGCAGTCGACGTAGATCGGAACACGGTGCCGCCGTTCGAGTCGTGGCGAGGCAATTACTCGTTAGTTATCTTTACCGGGCGCTGATAAGCGGTGCCGACGCAACGCCCCCTAAAGGCAGCGGCCACCATTGATGCCAGCATTGATGCCAGACGAGTGGCATTGCGACGCCAGTCGTCGCAACTTCGTGGTGCGCGCTAGCAAGCTTGCCCCCGCTATGAAATCGTTTTGCGCGAGCATTCAGTACTACGACACTGACCTTGAAAAATGCTCCGCTGAAAGCAGTTGCTCGCTTCGCGCGACGACAAAATCGCGCACCGCATGTTTGCAACTTGTGCTTCGAGTCCCAATTTTGACACTAGCGACAGATATCCATGCCATACCTAGATTGCGGATCCGGTGCATTGACCTTCACAGTTGGATTAGGTAAGAACACTACATACTCCCTGCAAAAATGACCTGCTTACGAATGTCCAAACAAAGTCGATGTTTGTCAGCACTCCTGCAATTTATTATTGGCCTGCTCTTGGCGCAGCACATCCAGTTGAAACATGCAGTGCCGCGTTGGTCGATTCCTACATGAAACAACAAACTCAGCCAAGGCTTCAATAAAAAGGCACGATTTATTTCAGAGAGGAAAGGGAAAAAAAGCAGCAGGGTCTGAATTGCTTCGAATCTAAATGCTTGAAACTAGGTACATTCAAATGCAGCCGTGGATGACGCTGCTGCAAGACTTAAGTTCACATTTCAAACCTGCCAGCATCCTTAAACTGCCAGTACATTTAACAATTCCTTTTACCCACAGAAACTGGAAAAGGGATGCTGGGACTACAGTAAACGAGGGAAGGAGGAAGAAAAAAAATAGAGCAGGATTGAAGAACCATTTCACTTTATATAATTCTTAAAACTCTGCTTGAGTTACAACGCACCACTTTTTTTTTACCACTGTTGCTCACTCTCACAAACACACACGCTCACATGAAACAGTATCTATTTACAGAAAGGGACGCACACCGTCGACGCAAGTCGGTTACCAACATTAATCTGACCGACCAATGCGCAATACACCACAAATACTCCTCCCGTCGGAGACACTGAAACAAAGCATCACTAATTACAACTACGGGCCACCAAAAGAGCAGGCCATTTTTTTTTTTACCCCCATTGTGCATTCAGGTAGCGAAAATGTGCTACACGAAGCTCGGACACTTTGCGATACTGCGAGGGAGAGGGCGTGGGGGGTACATATACAACACGTTTCACTTGCCTAGGTTATGTACAGAGATGCCCAAATGCACGACAGGACTGTTTTGACTGGGAGACCCCAAGAAACAAAAAATGTAAAAAATTATGCCTGGAGAAACGCTGCTATTTACAGCACACTTATAACACATACACATTGGACAGGCCTATATATATATATATGTGTATGCTACTGACAACTGCTGAGCACCAAATTTAAAGTTGGGGGAACAAAGGACACCAGGAATTGTAACACTGGATTGAAGCAAAGAAAAAAAACTTACAAGTGTGTACTACTGGAGACCCGCATTTGTTTTTTTACACACACAAACAGCACACTAGTAGATAAGGACAACACAGAATACAGAATGATGACCAGAACAACATCCGGGCACAAGAGGCTTGCAGGGCACACAAGACCGGAAAACATAAAATACCGGAACAAAAAACACGTGCACAAACCAAAAAGAAAAAAATATAGGGCCTAAAGAGCTGAAATGACTATCACAGACTTTCGTTTTACTTTTTTTCTCAGACAAGTTTTGTCACTTCTTTTGAGAAAAGTTTTTCAGTTTTTTTTGTTTACTTTTCAAAGCTCTTTTTGAATCCCCATCTGGACAAAACAAGGACATTACGATATCACACGAGGGGCCTGAACAGAAATACAAAGGAAAATGCACAGAACACATTTATGGTCAAAACAGGTTGAAGAAAAGAAGAAGCAGAACCAGCTGCATTTTCGACGTCAGTGGAACGAAGAAACCTTGGAGAGGAGAAAAAACTGGGGCGTAGCAGTTAGTCGCAGTGCCCCTAGCCCATGCGTGACAGTGACAAGTGACTCTCGGTGCCCAATGCTACAAGACTGCAAATGCATGGCTGTGTGGTGGTGTCCTTTTTTTTTTGTAAAAAGAAAAATCGGGGGAAATCATGCACTGGCTTAGACAGCAGCGGCCATCAGTACAATGCGGCAGAACATCGGATACGGCACAAGCCGATGCAACAACAGGCGAGGGTAACTGCTGGCATCGCGAGCCCAGTATAAAGACCATTATGAGAGGTACCTAAAAAAACTCTAGTAAAATTAAGAGGATTGACCACTCAAGCACCTTCAAAACACCGAGAAAAATACTACAAGGAGAAAAGTGAGCTACTGACACGCATCAAAAGGAAAGCAGGCAAATTGTCACCAATCAATGTTGAGAAATGCCGCAACCGAAATGGCCGGGGCACCCTCACTTCACGCTACTGTTCCAGCCACTCAGCGTAAACAAGTGCCTGCGTCCCTTGAGGCTTTCTATTAACCATTCAACAAAGTGGCGGCCTGGACAGTCAAAAAAAAAATATATGGCTTAAGAATACACAAACGAACGGGAACAATAAAACATTGGGACGCCTCTCGCATCTATTTAATTAGCTGCACCCCGCAAGAGCTACACAGTACAATGTGTGAGAAGTGGACACCGTAAGCCAAATGCTACGTACAATAAACAAAACCATAGAACCGCACACAGGACATACCTTTACACGCACACAAACATACGAACGACGCAGAATATGCTGAAAAACTTTGCACATCGTAAAAGAAGTAGGTTGAACAAGCAAATATGCTGGCACGAAGCAAATAAGAAAAAGCACTTCGAACGAGACGCTGCACTTTGAATGCGTACAATGCAAATGACAAACAAGAACGGCAAGGTGCAATGTTCCCTATAGTATCACTACTAATGCACGAAACTAACACACACCAACAAAACTGCACTGGACGCCGCTACGAGCCTATACAAGACAAATGCGCACACACAGACACAAATACAGGCTGCGTTGACCTGCACAGCCCGAGTGAAGTTTTCCTCTCCCTTCAACAAACAAGACTGCAAATGCGGGGCTGCTGATCCCAAAGTAACAAGACTCGACAACACTTTGGGAGGAGAAAAACCACTGGATGGCAACAAGGGACAGCATACAGAAGAACGGTATACAAATAAAAAAAAGCGCAGCCATTTTTTTTCTCACTTTGTACTTCAGCTGTGAAAAATAGGAAATTTTATAACAGAACTTTATAGAAAGAAGACAATCAGCCAAGAAGAAACCCATTAAATTAAGGTGCCCTCCCAAGTAAGGCAGGATACACTAGACTCCTGCAATGCAGCCTTATAGAGGAATATATAGAACAGCAAGAAGTTCCAAGGTAACTCACACAGCATGCAGTTCGTATGTGTTCTTGGAACGCCACTCCTTTCTTTTGTATGCAGCATGCAAACAATCTGAACGACGAAAGTAAGTTGACACAAACGGCAATAATAGCGGGGAAAAACTACACACAACATCTACTGTAAGCTCCTCGCACGACACACATTAGTCGTACCTCCACGTCCCGCCATCGTCATCAACAGCACCTGAAGGGAAGTGCGCAAGTGGTGGTACACTTTAGCAGTGCTGCTTCACTCAAACCACCTTTCACCCCGACCATTTTGAACACGTACACGAGCCGCCGCAAGAACATAGAATAAAATTAAATCAAAGGAAGCACTGCCCTCCTAATACGTTCCACAGCATTTGTCTCCTAAGTGGCACTGGATCACATGATGCAGAAGGGAGAGGAGGGTGCTTTGGCAAAGGAAGCAGGGGAGTGGGTTGGGGCAACAGGTTCACCAGAGAGGCACCCTACATCCTCAGACGCCCTCCGGAAGGGCAGAATAGTGTGTCGTCTGCCACGACGAGTGCACGGGCTATTGCGTAGAGAAGACTATAGCCGGCACAAAAAAAATGTTCCGGGAGAGAGAAAGTGCGGCGGGTGGTGGACAGGTGCTCAATTCTTGACGGCCGTGGCCTGCTGCTGCTGTCGCTCGACCTCCTCGACGAGCAAGGCCTTCTGGTGAGGCACAGGGGGCAAGGTGGGCTGGTAGAGCACGTCACTGTGGAACCACTTAGCCAGATTGGCGGCAGGCACTCCTGTTGCTGCAGCCGCTGCTGGCACAGCGGGCCCACGGACGGGGAGTCCGCCGGGCACCATGCCAGCACCCTTGATATCTGCATGCAACAAAGTAAGACATGAACGGCGTTGGTACATTGAAATATTACTGCTACATAAGGAGAGTTACAGCCAAGAATATGCAAATTACTGAACTAAACTGAGCTAGACAATCCAAATGACTTAAAGTAAAAGTGTCCAGTTCACAGAAGATTCCTCAGGGTCTCTCAATGTAAATGTACTTGCAAAATTGAAGGTCAACTCGAAGGCAAGTAGACTACCTATAAAAAGGAAGGAGGAGGAGGCAAGTGCATGCCACAACGAAAATAATAAACAGTTGCTTGCTGCACTGGCTCATGTCCTTACTATTGTTAAATCTTGGTAATAGTGCATCCCCTTGAATGTACTAACTGTTAAATACAGCTACAATATATTCTGGCCAGGGTCTCGAAGCCTAATGCATTCAATTACCACTTAAGTATTGGCGCGTCCTCTGTCTATCAGTGCACACCATATTGACTCACATTCAACAACATGACAGTATGCCGCACCAGCTCGTCTACCTTTCTGGTAACTTCAGAGAAGAGTCATCCAGCCTATATCGAGGCTTCAGTCCACCTGAGGGGATGCTTTCACATACAAGCACCAGAATGGAAAGTATGATGTCTGACACTGATAATTGTGCCAGCGCAACTTGTTGAAAACAACTCCATCGGCATGCGCATTGTCAGCTACCTGCTCGGCCACGCATGTGGTGCAGTGCAGTTCCAAGCTTACTGCATCTTAACAGGCATGAGACAGTCACAAATGGTGGCGTTGCTGTTACTGGCTCAAACGCGAACACTCAAGTGCATGGCGTGGGCACAGAGAAAACCTTGTTGCACCAGGACTATAGCACCAAACACGTGCATACAGTACAGCAAGTGCGGCACTCTTGTAATTGTACTGCACACTTATTAGGTGATGACACTATGGCCCTGTGCCTCCATCCACTGCTGTCTTGTGCAGAAGTGATAGGGCATCACAGAGATGTTGAGTGCCCATAACTTGCTTGTTGCCCCATTGTCAGAACAAGCTATTCGCTACCCCCATGCACAGTCTGAAGCGAAGTGGTATGAAGAACACCCTCATGGCAGATGCACATATGGCACAGCAAGCGGCCAAGAATGATGAAACAAGCCAAGTAGGCGACATGTTGCATGCAACTAATAATTTGATTCACACTGCAGCAGGGATTTTCAACAAGGCTGTTTTCGCTCAGATGCAGATCGTAGAACATGACACACCTGTTCACCTTTCCCAACAAGTACAAATGAAAAAACTGTTCCATCTAGTACAGATGCACACACACATTGCGGCAAGTTGAACACACCTCTACCTCCTCTATCAGTATTCCAGTCCCTGCATATTCCTGTCCCCACAGCAGTTTTGAAATGCTCCTTTGCATTGCTACTGTGAAGTATTGGATGCTTGCGCAAGAGAGCCAGAATCAGCGTATTGCCAGAAAAAATAAAACACTGTAGTGAGTACCTGAGGCAATATTTGCTGTGGCATCGCAGTAATTTCTTTGTTGGCAGCATCAGTACACGTGAGAAGATGCGAAGTTGCACTTTGTGATTAGTACACACTACGATCTAGGGCGCAGTTTAGGCACGTACAGTAAACTCTCGTTAAACGAAACCTGAAGGGACCAGGAAAATGTGTTCCCTGTAACAGGCATTCCGTTTACCGAGAGATGAACATGCCCAAAGTACCGTATTTACTCTGTGGGGGTGCTGACACCCCCCCTGTAAAGTTGTCTGCGCCGCGTGGCGCATGTGTCTCGCCCCCAAGGCTTCATTTCGGTGGTGACCACCGCCGGGCGATAGATGGCGCTGTGTTCGCTTTGAGTACCACTGTTGGTAGAGTGGTAGCGCCGGCGGTGGCCCCTGGCGGAAGGCAGGCCTTGGTGGTGGGCGAGAGTTGAGCGAGCCTCTTCTGCGCGTGGCGGCTGCCGCGAACGGTTTTCTGTAGCGTGGGTCCCCGGTGCTCGGAACCACGGGCTTCGCGCCGGGGTCCCACGTGGAAAGTCAGGCGTTGGCGCCGCCGCCTTGGGTATGTGTTAGTGTGTTGGGTGTGTTAGTGTGTGTATCATTTATTGTGTGTTTAGTTTGTCACTGCGTTATGTTGTTTCTAAGATAGCGTGTTAATTAAAATTGATGTAACATTCGGCGGACGATATCGTCGTCTAAATTAGTTAAGGGGGGGCGCGGCAAGTAAAGTGCCGATTTTGGTCAAAATATGCGATTTTCTGATTTATTTTTTTTCATAATCTTCAGACCTTCAACTTCCTTGTTCTAAAATATTACAGCGAAACGTGCGCTACAAATCCCGCAAATAGTGTTTTTGCCGAGGCTAGTCGCCGAAAAGTGCGAAAAAAAAGCCCCTGAAACGGTGTTGTTCACGCCGCACAAACGCGCCAAGTTGTTGACCGTGGGCCGCCATTTTGGTAGCTTTGGAAAGAGGAGAAAGCCGGCTTCCCGATGGTCGCGGTCTCGTATTTCGCCGAGTGAAAATAAAAGCGCGAGGAGCAAGTAAAAAAACGAAAACGAAGAACGGCAATTGGCTGCGCGGGTCACGTGGTAGCAGGCGCGACCTCTTACTGGTCAAAGCTGCGCCGCGCACCTTGGCAACCTTGGAAGCGCGAGCGCATCTGCGGCCGCCGTGTCGAGAATCATCCGGCGTGCGCTTCGTTTTTTGCCAGTTTGCTGTTTTTGTGATAGTTCGCGTGCTTTTTTTTACCAAGCTTTGTTTACATCGGTGGTCTCTTCTGAGTGCTTGCTCATACTGCGGTGCTATGTTGCCGCAAAAAAAGTTCCGGAGCGTCCACAAGTACGGCAAGCGTCGGAAAGCTTGGAACAAAGGGCAGACGACTGCGGCTGCCGTCCCAGTCGCAGTTCCGGACGGAGCATGCTCTTCAAGCGTCACGAAGCCTCTACTCAGACCCTTCGCTGATTGTTGTGAGGCCGAGAGTGTGGAAGGTGCCACATCGTCGTATGTCAGACCGCCGGATGCCGTCGACCGTGATGGACGCTCTCGCGAACCCGATTGCGGTGGCACCGCGTCGGCAGCCGTTGCAACTCCGGGCGTGCGCGCGTCGAACATTCTATCGCGAGTTTCGGCCCAGATTCCGAGCAGTGAAGAAATCGCGCAGCGGGCGCAGACAAGGCGGGATGTTTTGGATGCCGTAGCATCGAAGTCCGCTTCAAAGCGGAAGCTCGAGATTCTGAACGAAGGCTGCGACGAAAATGACGGCGGTAAGGACTCCACATTCTTCATTGTAAATAAGAAGATGCTGAACGGTCTGCTTTCGTCAGTAAAGTGCAACAAGTGCGACGAAGGGTCGATACGCCTCGAGACTACGCACTGCCTTGGACTCGCGGCGAGGATGGAACTTTTTTGTGACAATTGTGGCAGAGTGAACAGTGCGTGGTCGTCCCCGAGGTGCTCCGGGCAACAAAAAACGAACCCCTTTGAGGTAAACGTGCGTGTTTTGAGGGCTGTGCAGTCAGTTGGCAGAAAACAATCTGCCATAAATGACATTTTTTCTGCGATGGACATTTCGCATCGAGCACTGCACCACAAGTCCTACCAGAGACTGCAAAGGAAGTACAGCCACCCTGCCACCACATCAGCTGCCACCCGCATTGAAGCAGAAAGTGCACAGAAGGTGCATGACATTTACAAGGACCTAGGAGGAGTGCCAGGCAACATTGACGTCATTTACGACGGCACGTGGATGACGAGGGGGCACAGAAGTCATATTGGCGTGGGCTGTGTAATCGAGCTGTACACAGGCTTGGTCTTGGACCACTGTGTCCTGTCCAACTACTGCCAAGGCTGTGCTGTTGGCCCCAAGCCTGGTGATGACAACTATGAGGAGTGGCTTGAGAAACACAAGCCACAGTGCCAAAAGAACACCGATGCTAATGCAGGCCAAATGGAAGTAGAAGCAGCTAGGATCATGTTTGAAAGATCGTTTACCAAGTACAAGCTTCGATACATCAATGTGCTCTGCGACGGTTCCACGACAAAGAAGATTGTTCCACGACAAAGAAGCGCAAAACTGGGTTGCGCTCTACAGAGGCCAAGGCCACAGCATCTCAGGATTACTGCCCAGGAGGATTCTGAGTGTTTTAGGCATGTTGTGAACTTCCAAACAAGAGTGAACTTTCAAAGTCAGTTTTCTCAACTCTTGATTTTCGCCTATGTGCCTTCGCTAGAACATCTGTCATTTTCTAACAAAGACTGATAGAGTCGTTCCGTTTTTTGCACTAGGCTCAGGAGGCCTTTAGCAGTGCAATAAAGCTTTATCTCTCTTCTTACTCATCATTTAAAATTTTTAGAACACATTTTATAATTACTGCGATGTGTGCGCAAAACAACATTCATGTTTTGGAAATTTTATTTATGGTTACAAGAACTAGAAAAATCAACTAATAGCTTCTTTGCACAAGTTGATGCTTTGGGAACATAATAATATGAAAAAATAATTTCATTTAGCAATAATTATCTCTTTAAGTGTGAAGAGCATTAATTAGTATAATTATGCTTGTAACTCAAAAAGTACAAGAGGTATTTGAAAACGGTTTTCATATTTGGAATTTTAAACGGTTTTCATATTTGGAATCCTCACAATCATCCACATACACACACCAAATTTCATCACAAACAGTACATTAATAAAAAAATTAGTTTTACTTGCCACGTCCCCCCTTAATAAATGTATGTATGTTGTGTGCTTTGTACCGACCGCGCCTGCTGTGTCCGTTCACTCCAAGAGCGTGGCGATGCGCTCGTTTGCCTCGCTGAGACCCCACAACTCGCATAATCGGCGCACTCACAATATATGCGCACCCCTAGTTTGGTTGCAGAAAATTAGATTTTTTACAATTACGTGCATAATAGGCGCACCCCGAAGTTGCCCGTGGTCAGAAATTATTCTACCCCCCAGCAGTAGAGTTGGAATGCAGTCCCCATACCCTGTAGAAAAAAAGGTAAATTGGCGAGCAAATAAAAA